CTCTGATGTCAATTGTTTAAATGTTTGGCGGGGTTGTTTGTTTCTCTGAGTTCTAGGTTAAGAAAATACCAGACAGTATGTACAACATTTAAAAAACAAAACAAAACTGAGGCTTGTTTGCCACAATACGATTCAAATGGAGAAAAGTTTTGGTCTTATTTCTTGCCATACACTACTTTACAGCCAAAAACTGTGATTTAGCTTTTACAGTTTTTTAATCAGTGTACCAGCTGCCTGTGGACAGCCTGGAACAGAATTTCTCTGTTTATATTTGTTGATGTTTTCACGTTACCCAATGGGATAGAATCACACATGCATAAAAAAATTGTATGATCAGTTCTGTTGACACAAATCTTTTTTTTTTTAATTTTCTAAAGATGGCTTCAAAAAAAAAAAAACAACAACTCTGATTGACTCTTATTTCTGCTCCTTGAAGCAGCAGCTGTAGGGTTTTTGTTCCACTGAGTGGTGCAGACATTGTGGGAGAGGACATGTACTGTAAAGCAAAGGCTTGAAAATAAATTAAATATACAGCTGCTTTATCAGCAAACTGTTCATGCTGGAAATACTTGACCAGGAGAGCAAGCCTAGAAATATTTACATCCTATGAAATAGTGTCCTGTTATAATACATAAAAACAACTGATCTGGAACCAACCACCAGGGGTTTGAATTAGATTTAGTGTACACAGTTATGTGTGTGTTTAAGATCACAGTGGCGTACCTCCAGGCAGAGTGTATTTTCTGTGCTCTCACCTTACCAGTCATTTCTAAATCAACTGAACGTGGCCATCCTGACACATAATACAGCCTGAGAGCTGCATGATGAATAACAGTTCCATTTTCACAGCTATGCTTCTGGTTTTCTATTACTGCTGCCCACAGCACACTGCTTTATAAATGCTAACCCTGTTAGTTTGTTGTTGTTGTGTATTTTCAACCACAAGTAGCAATAAAAGTAGCATTTCTTAAAAGAATACATATTGCCCGCTGTGGTGCATGTCAGAGTTTTAAACTAAGATTTCACTCACTCAAACTATGCGTTAGTAATGACTACTAACTACTACCACAGCAAATGTTAGCTAATACCCCCAAATATCACGGTTACTCGAGTTTTAATCAAGACTCAACATCATTCTTGGGTTTAACAGACATTTATTGTGGACCACGTCTTTTACATGTCCTTAAAACGCCTGAATAACGCCGCTAAACTAAGAAAAGAAATTAGGGATGTCGTGAGCCGACATTGGTCCAATATTAGCCAAAAAATAACATACATGTCAAGTTGTACGGATTGTCCATAATTTACACAGATTTTCCCTCATTTTATATGTATACAGACGTATAGATCAGTTTTTCCCAAGTTTTACTGACTTTCTCAAAAACTCAGTTTCAATTTAATTTTATTATTTTAATTACCGTTATTTAACCAGGCAAGTCTCGTAGAGATCTCAGATCTCTTTTTCAAAGGAGGCCTGGGCCTGAAGGCAACCTATGTTTTTTTGGTGGGGTGGGGGAAACCGGAGAGCCTGGAGAAAACCCACACAAGCATGAGAACATGCAAACTCTGCACAGAAAGAACCCAGGTCCGAACTGGGGATCGAACCCAGGACTTTCTTGCTGTGAGGCGTCGGTGCTAACCACTGAGCCGT